ACTGCAAGCTAATTGTGTTAGTGGGCTTACACTGCAGAGCTTCCAGAAGTTTGGGTTTCGGTTTTGGTAAACAGTGCATTTCCATGGCATTTATTGAGAGGCCTGGGTATGTGGCATGACAAGGATGCGCTGCACTGTACAGTCTTTCATTGTTGCCACCAAGGTCTTCCAGCTACTCACTCCCAAGTTTTTAGTCAGCCTTTGCTGCTTCACCGCTTCATCGCTGCTGGGAGAGGCCCCATCCCACCACTTCAGACCTAATAAGCATCAGTGGAAATCAGAAGTTTTTACTGTCTTAAAGGCTGCTAAAAGGCTTCTGAAGAAGTGAGTCAGTGTTTTCAGTCTTGTTTTCATTCCATGTCCCAAAGCTCATCCGGATTGGCATCTGTGTTTGCTGCCTCCAGAGAGAGAGGCTAATTACTGGACAAAGCTAGAGATTAAGCTTTCCTCTTGCCCTTATGAAGGAACAGTCCCTCTGGAACAGGGTTTAGGGCTCATTAGGAGAGTGGTGGAGAGAAAAGGTGTTTCCTCACTACAGCCGCTCCCCATCCTTTTTGGATACAGAGGACTGAAATGAACAGGGCATTTAATCCAGCACCTTTGGCAATCCCTAAGAAAACCTTGCAAGTCCCCTGAAGTTGGGGTATCTTTGGCCATACATCCAGGCAATATGATGTGACAGGCACTTCAGTTCATCAGAGCAGCACACCTTGAATGCATTTTGTGGTATAAGGCCAAAGCACAAATGACTTCAACTCTCGTGAAATGCAATATTCTTTTACAAAACATTAAAATCTTTGCACTGGCTTATTAGTATAAAGAAATGAAAATTAGTTGAAAACTAAGGAGGAAGAGGGGTTTCCTCAGCTAGGTTCCTAGGGGTCAGGCACCTTGACAGCCAATAAGGAGCTGCCATTTGCAGGTAATGCTCAAAAGACACATCTTAATATAGTCAGTCTGGAAAAAGACTCTGAAATCTGAGAGCAACAGAGTTCTCTCTGCATCGCCAAAGGGGAAGTGCTGAAGTACAGTATTAGAGGATGAGATCTGTGTCACCATATAGACCCCTACACCAGCCTTCCACGTTGGAATGATTACTATTTTCTCATTTTCCTAAAAGATTGCATGAGGTCTTGTGTGTTTATAAAAGAATTTTTAAAGCTTTTGGGTCAATTTGGCTTTTAAAAATTTGCCTTCAAGAATGAAGACTGCAGGATACTTGTAATCTGGCCCTTCTAAATCCTTCTCTCACAGAGAGAAGCACATTTCTAGATGATTAGAGAACTTCAGGTGGGAACGGTATTCTGCCTCTGGCTTTATGCCTTAAAATATGACCTCAGGCAAGCTATCATTTCCCAGAAAGGAAATATGTCATATGTTACTATTAAAGTGAACCAGAAAAAGAGCATTCTATTACAATAATGGGTTTTGTTTAAAAAAAATGTAAATGTCAAATCCCCAAAGGAATAATACATATTTGATACTATTATTGGAACAGCAATACCAGTAATTGCATGAGGTGCTTATATTTAGTATTGTTCATATAGCAAAGGGATTTTATGTAAACCTTTCACTAGAATTATTGTGTCAGAAGAAAATGAGTAACAGCATCGCCCATTATTCAGGCAATCAATATACATTTATTGGGGGATGACTGTGTGGCAGTCTGTCATCAGTGTAAATGCTGGGGATGCAAAAAAAAAAAAACAGAACATCTTCCTGCCTTCAAGGAACTCACATTCCAGTTGAAGGCACAGAAATAGTACCTAACTACAACGCAGTGTCACAAAAGCTATAATAAAGATTCCCATGGTGCTATGGGAGGGCACTACAGAGAGCTAGTCATTCTGGCCAAAGGAGTCCTTGTAGCCTTATTGGCTGAGTTGTATCTTAAAATATCAGGATGAAGTGCGTATTAGGCAGATTGAACAGCATGGGCAAAGGTGTAGCAGTGGGATAAAAAAGCACGGCACATTTAGGAAATGGTGTGTGGTTTTGTGTAGCTACAGAGGTAAGGTTGTCAAATTGTCTGATGTCAAATACTTTGAAGGACTAGTCTGAGTTAAAGGAACTTGAGTGATTTTTGAGCAGTATAATTTTACAAAATGAATGTATTTTATATTATACTCTAGACAGCCAAGGTAATGAGAGTAGGAGACAAAATACTGCATGGAGTAAAACCATCATTCTCACCATGACTCATCTGTTAACTTATGAAAATACACTTACATCAAGAAATGCAAGAAAATTGCTCACTTCATGTGCTTATGGGTGGATTGAGCCTAATTTTGTAGCATTAAAACCAATTTCCTACTGAGAAAACATCTCACAGAAGATGGCATGAACCTTTATAATTATTAATCATATTTGATATTTTGATGTCACCTTTCATCCTGAGATTAGTCCTGTATGCATAGGGAACAGATAACCTCCAAGGAAACAGAGATAATACAAATACAGTAAGTCGAATTGCATTTCTATCTTCCATATTCCAAGGGCTTTCCAGTTGTGTGTTTCTCACCTTTAGAGGTTAGTGGATATAGTTGTAAAACAGTGATTTTCTTTATTAGAGCCTACTACAAGGAATCTTAGGACAGAGTAAGTGTCACATCTTTCTACACACAGCTTTCCTTGGATGATCGACGTTTGACATATCCATTCCCCTTTCCTTGACTTCTTTGCCTGCTAATTTCATTCTCAGTGCAGGACACACCAACAGTGGGCTGTGTTTTCCTAGATTCTTCAATTTCCTCCAGAAAGCAACAAGTCATTATTCTTATCATCACACCAAAAAGGACTGCTGCTCCTGCTTATAAAGCACCCGTGTTATGCCTTCACTATTCCACTACCCTAATAACTTTATATATACACCACATTAAATAACCTCACACCATTACAGGGTAGCACCATCCAGTAGAACTTTCCATGATGATGGAGGTGTTCTCTATCTGCGCCATACTATGGTAGCTACTAGTTATGGGTGGCTATTGAGCACTGGAAAGTAGCTGGTGCTACTGAAGAGCTGCATTTTTCTTTTATTTAATTTTCATGGACATAACCATATGGGTAGTGACTATTGTATTGGACAACGGTTACAATGGCTGATGGTTTATTCATTTATTTTTTTTAAAGAGCTTGTTTTCATCAGTCAGAACAGGGCTAGTGTGAGTGAACGGTTCCAAAATATTCTTGATGCTATAAATATTTCAAGAGAAGTCCCATATTTTACATTTGGAGAACTTTTATTCCACCACTCCCCCACCCCATTTTAAAAGATACCTGTGGAATATTAGGGTAAAAAAAAGCCATTTCTAAACAAAGAAAACACTTACAAAAGACATGAATGATGTCCTCAAATGAAACCTCATTTTCCTCCAACCTTCCCACGTGGTTGGCAAGAATAGTAGACACTAGTTTAACCACTGAAAATTGGAATTCCAATCACTGATTTTTCAAAGGGAGATAGTTACCTCCACTTATAAAATGGAATGATTTATGAGGGTTTTATGCTTTGGGTCTCCATCAAGAAACAGTTTTCAGATAAATTCATAACTCACTTTGGGTCCTAGCCTTACTAAAACCACTTCCCCAAGATTTCTCTGGATAGTATGTGAAAATATGGAAATTGAATGCTCTACAGTGAAGAAACTGATTAAAAGAATTAATTACATTTCCGCTTAGTCCACCCTGTAACTTAGATCGTTACCTCCCCTAGAGAAAGAGAACTTAAGTAGCCCTTGGTTTGAACCATCTGTCGCGAAAATGTGACATATGTTTGCTTTGTTTACTCAACAACCAAGTGTAAACTGATCTAACAAGAAATCTGTCTATGGTGTGACTGTGCATGTGTGCGTGTGTGTTGAGGGGTGTGCTCGATAATGGCATCAATCTCATACCTGTTACTGAGGAACACGTACACAGGAGCATGAATCGGTGGGATGTCCCTCGGGTTTGGGGTGCGTATAAGCGCGGATGCACAGAACACACTCCAAATATAATGCGCCCCAAGCACTGGAACGGCTTCCGCAACCGAGGGTCGCGCCTGGTTGATGTGTAGTTGAATAGAGAGCGACCCACCCCTCCTCTCTCCTCCTTTTCTTCTCCCCGCCCTTACAGCCCAGCCTCAAACTTCAACCAAAGCCAGTGCCCTTTTCAATTAACCCCCTCGATTAAAAATAAACTGAGCCTTTTTCTCTCCTCCGTGGCCCATTGTCTGGCGTGATGGGTTTGCAAATTTGACAGCTGGGCTCACCCAGACTTGATTAAAATTCGATTTCCCTGAGAGATGAACTTGGGTATCAACAAAGATCCCCCGAACAGAAGCCCCGAGCAGCTGGACCGCCACCCGCCACTGCAGGCTGCTCCACAGACCCCTGTCTGCACCCAGTGTAGACTTTGGTGCGTTGGGCACCCCCGGAGTAGAGGAAGCGGAGTGTGTGTTCGGGGCGGGGTAGGTGGGTCGGCAGACGGCTGAGAAACGAGTGGTTCCATGGATCGGGGTGAATAGCTGTGTATGTACTGGGCTTTGAAATTTATTATTATTTTTAAATTTTACTCTTGAAACGGCCAAGATGGAGGTCAGTTTATAAATTTCCCAAAGCCAGGTCTGACGCGGTTTAAATGCAGTTGCCGGGGTTCCGCTTTTGTCTCCTTGCTCAAGCTCCAAGGGAACGGTGGAGACTGCGTGGCACGTGTGAGTGTGTGCGCGCCGCCCTGGATGAGCGCTCGGGCGCATTCCACGATCGCGGTCGGAGGGCCTGGGTCTGGGTGTCTTTAACGCGCCAAGTCTGGAGTCACAGCTGCGAGTGACGTGGAGAAAAACTTGGTGTTCAGAAGAAGGGTCTGATTCGATTGTACTAGATCAGAAGAGCCCCTGTGCATTGTGCCTTTTTGTGTCTCTGAGTGTGTGTGTGTGTGTGTGTGTGTGTGTGTGTGTGTGTGTGTGTGTGCGTGTGTAAGAAAGAGAGGGAGAAAGAGAAAGAAGAGTGTGTCTGGCAGTGCCCGCCTCCCGCTGCACAGCGCTGCGTGTCCTGTGCGCGCGTGCGGCGACTGGCCCCGAGTCCCACCGCGGGCGAGTGCGTTCATCTGCGGCGTCCGAGCGGGCGAGCAAAGGAGGGGGCTGGCGGTGTGCTGCGCAGCGGCTGGAGAGCAGCAGGCCGAGGGTCTTCGGCACAGAAATCTGGCCTCGGAACCAGCGATCCTCTGCACAACTCCCAACGGCCACTAACATCCCTACCCGGCATCTGGGCCTGGGGTTCTGCTCAGAAATCGGCCTGGCCCAACTCCGTCCCTCTGAGCTCTTGAAGATTACCGCGTCTTTCTTCCTAGCGCAGAGAAGTGAGCCCGGAAAGGGAAGGAGAGGGCGGGGACACCCCCCCTCCCCCGCCCCAAATAAATAAATAAATAAACTGGCTCTTCATCGCAGCTGGACACGGTTGGTTGAGTCCAGGTTGGTGACATTTGAAGAGTTTTTTCCTCCTGTCGATTTGGGAACCCATCGCCTTTCCCCCATCCTCCTCCCCCTCTTGCAGGCGCCCCTCAACTTTGGGGTCCAGTGGGGGCGGGGGGAGCGCTCTGCGCCTGGCTGCACCTGCCCTGCCGCTCCTGGGCCGCCAGCCCGTGCGCTTCCCCGGGGCTGCCAGCCCGTGCGCTTCCGCGGGGCGGTGGCATTGATGCGCGCGAGTCTAAGGCGTTCGGCGAGGTTTTGTTGCGCGAACGAGGGGTGGGAGCTGAGGATGTGTGACGGGTAGGGGCGCAGGAGCCGGGTTTCGGCCCCACCAGGACGTCTGTTCCCCCTAGCCTGGCTGGCTCAGGAAGGAGGCGAGCCCGGGAGGAGTGGGAGACGGAGACAGGGGGCTGCGATTGGTGGTTTGGGTGGCGAGGGCCAGCAGCTGAGCCTGCGAGCTGACGGGAGGAGGGGGCGGCGAACTTCCCGGGAGAAGGGGCTCTTTCCGCGCCGGGGCTGGCGAGAGAGCTGCTGCCGCCTCGTGCTCGGACTCCAGGCAGCGGCCGGTTCGGCTCGCAGTCCTCGGAAAGTAACGTTATTTGATTACGTTCAGCCTCTGGGGTGGGATCCGGTAGACACCCCCTTGGAATTTAGGAACCTGCGTCCGACCTCTCCAGTCCCCACCTGCAGGTGTGGACGGCTCCCCGGAATATACTCACACGCACCCCTCCATCTCCCGCCCCGGCGTCCCCTTCCCGCGCCCCAACTGGGGTGGGGGTGGGCTCTCACCCGGGCGCTGGAAAGTCCCCCCAAGGCGAGAGCAGGGGAGGGCAGAGGGGCAGGGGGAGGCTCCAGCGCTCTCGGCTCTCATTTCAAAGCACGCTCTCCCTTCCAGGTTGGGTCGGACCTGAACCCCTAAAAGCGGAAACGCCTCCCGCCCTCGCGCCAGCCGCCGGCCGGGAGCTGAGTCGCCGGCGGCGGTGGCGGAGGACCGACTAGGGAGTTTCCTCTCGCTCTGGATGGAGCTGAACTTTGGGTGGCCAAAGCAGCGCGGCCGTCCGGCGATCGCTGCATGCTGAGCTGCCTCGGCGAGACCCAGCGGCGGCTCGGGATTTTTTGGGGGGCGGGGACCAGCTGTGCGCCGGCACCATGTTCCTGGCGACTCTGTACTTCGCGCTGCCGCTCCTGGGTAAGTCGAGGCCACTGCTAGCTTTCTTACCAATGAGTCTTTCCGAGGGGTACTCGCAGCGCCCCCCTACCCCACCCCACCCCCCATCCCCAAATTGCGGCGCCGGTGCGCTGGCTGTGGGAGGGAGAAGTTTCGTTTTGGGGAAGGGGATCCTAAGACCTCAGCATCCCCGGTTGGGAGGGGGTGACGGGGCGGCACTTAACCGCGGCTTTTCGTACTTCGCTTTTATTTCCTGTGTTTTTTAATGGCCAAGCCTGGCGGGGAATGAAGGGGTCCGAGCCCTCCAGTCCCGGGCCCAGAGACCCAGGGAACTCGTGGAGGCGCGGCGGACAGGTGGGGTGTGGGCAAGCACGGGGCTGGGAGGGAAACTTCGTAGGGAAAACTTTTCCCCGAACAGCGTCTCGGGGCTCCCGGCCCGGCCGGCCGCGGACCATGGCTCTCCCGCTGCGCGCCCCGCGCCCCGCGCCCGCCCCGCGCCCAGCGCGCAGCCCGCCGCCGCTCTCCTCTTCGGAAAGCCCGCGGGCTTCCGTCGGCCCCGCCAAGCGGGCGGCAGGACGGCGGCCTGGAGCCGAGCAGCCGCTCCGGCAGGGTTGCCCCGGGAAAGCGGGACCGGCGCGCGCGAGGGGCAGCGCAGGATCCGGAGCCCAGGGCGAAAAGCCCACAAAGCCTCGGGGGGTTGGAATGGGTGGGAGACTGGGGCGACAGGAGGTCCCACGGCGGGAAAGTGGACTCCCAGGCGTAGGGGGTGGGCCGCGGGCTGTGCAGGGCGCCCAGCAGCCGGGCGAAGCACGCGCGCTCCCGGAGGCCCCGGCAGCGGCCCGGCGCAGCTGCGCCCACGCTCCCTCCCCTCCACCGCAGACGTGCTCCTGTCGGCCGAGGTGAGCGGCGGGGACCGCCTAGACTGTGTGAAAGCCAGCGACCAGTGCCTCAAGGAGCAGAGCTGCAGCACCAAGTACCGCACGCTGAGGCAGTGCGTGGCGGGCAAGGAGACCAACTTCAGCCTGACGTCTGGTCTGGAGGCCAAAGACGAGTGTCGCAGTGCCATGGAGGCCCTCAAGCAGAAGTCGCTCTACAACTGTCGCTGCAAGAGGGGTATGAAGAAGGAGAAGAACTGCCTGCGTATCTACTGGAGCATGTACCAGAGCCTGCAGGGTATGCGCAGACCTGCCTCGCCCCACACCCCCATCTCCCAAAGGCAGACAGGCCCCTGGGCCCCTGTGCGTTTACCTCACTTCTCCCCAGCTGCAGAATGAGGACCTTTCATTGGCCCCCAGGGACAGCAGCAGCTGGTGCTCCCTCCCTCTGGAGCAGCATTGTTGGGGCCTGGTTGTTGGAAAGCCCATCAGGGGGTGGGGGGCACACCCCTGGGACCCCGCTGACCTCTCTGAAACCTGGTCAGAGCATCAGAGTAGGAAACCATTAAAGGCCAGGTGAAGAATCAACATCTCTCCAAAGAGAGCTGGTTTCACAATAATACTCCAAAGGCTTGCCCTGTATTTTGCCTGGAATGTCTCCCCTTTCTTCTTCCTTTCTAGCTATTCTGATGTAAGATAAATAATTAGTTACAAAAGGTCCAGTAGAATCTATTCTTTATCCCCCCTCAAACCTGATTAAAGGCAGATGTGTGAAAAACCATTTGTCAAATTAGCTGAGTCTTGAACCAGCTGGTGTAGTTCAACCTTGGTTATTGTGACAACCTTGGGGCCACTTGTCACAACCACCCATTCCAATAGGAATTTTTTGGTCCTATGTGCCAGAGGTGCCTTGTGTTTGTAAACCTAACAATAGCACTCCAATGCATTCATTCTCCACTGAGACTCACACCTGAAATTTGTGATATACAGATTTGACCTCTCAGCTGCCACTTCCACTAGAACCTGTTAATGAAAACCTATTTCAGAAACTGACTGTTTAATGGCCAGGGTAACCAGCTTTCTGACCACATGCCATGTTTTGGGAGCAAAGAAATAGGAGCCTCTTTCCAGTCACCTTTCTTCCATTGGCTCCTGGAGGCAAGCTGGGCTTGTGACATCACTGCTTCCTTCCTCTCTGATTTCATTCCCTTGTATAGAGTGGGAGAGTTTTCTGGCAAGATCAGGCTGGGTCATTCTCCAGTGTTTTCACGGCACTCTGGGGAGAGCAAGGACAACAAAGGCAGAGGGAGTGAAAAGAAATAACCACAGCCAAATAGATATACATTTGAAATCTTTGAGAGTTTCAGCATCTTTTTGTTGCACAATCATAACATAATTAGAATTTAGATTCAGTAACAAACTGCCAGAAATAGGTCTTGTTTCCCAGATCCGAACTTACTCTTTCTGTTTTTAGGAAATGATCTGCTTGAAGATTCCCCATATGAACCAGTTAACAGCAGATTGTCTGATATATTCCGGGTGGTCCCATTCATACCAGGTAAGCAGATTTAAACTTCCACTCTTATGACTTTGCCTGCTTGAAATCCGTTGGCTTGCATTCTCTTTGGCTCTCAAGTAGTGTATGAGTAGATAGTTGAACGGCGCAGTGTTTCTGGGAAATTAGAAATAGGATGATGATAATAAAGAGGCAGAAAATGCCTAGAGATGATTGTATGATTTGAAAGTAATTCTAAAGGAAGTAATGTGGTGTGATGATTTCAAACAGGTTGGAGGGAGGTGACTTGGTTGAATTTTTTTTTCATGTTAAAATGTGATTGGCCATCACTTGCAAAGGGAGTGCCACTTCTGTCTGTAGGTGGCAATCGTATTCCCTTCTTGCTACATACCATTCACAGTGCCCCTGGAAATGGGATCTGTTTAAATGTTGCCACTTACTTTTACAAGATGTCTGAGGATAATCTTAGACTGCTGAAGAATTTTGGATAGACTCACTTCTCTGCCTTTGATTTAAAAGATTACACTCTACCATGTATTAACACTTCTTTGTTTCTAATTTTTCCAGAGCGAATGTGTGCTCATATAAGAGAATGTACCGTCCCAATGGTCCTATTTAAAAAGTAACCTTGCTTGCCCTGGTTTGCTTTGTCTCTCTTTGCAATTGTACATGTAGTCGGGAAGTGAACTTAGTTTTAGAATTACGTTTTTCATAACATCTGCATTCAGACAGCCTCATAAATAACACACAAGGCAGTAATTGTCCTTAATGACATACAGATTCCAGACTGATGTTCTCTTTATTTGTTCACAGTTAAGACATCTCCTCAAGTGTACATAGCCATCACAAATTATATGTTTCTGGGTGGTTAAACATGGTGGTTAATGTTGAATTTGATTCTGTGAGATGGTGGTTTCTTACTGGTGAGTGGTCTAGTTTTTTAAAGATTTTCTGTGTTTCTCCAGAAAGGCATAGAACCAAGGGAGTATCTATATGAGTATATTGCTCTACATTAACTCACTCACAAACATCCATTGAGCACCTTCTAAGTTTTAGCCATTGGGATTTTGGTAGTGAGCCAGACAGATGTTGTTCCTGCCCTGGTGAAACAGAGGCAGCCAGCAACTGGCATTAATTAAGCCCTTATTGTATGCCAGACACTATGTTAAGAGCTTTATATCACTAACTTACATAATCAACGTCAAGTGCATCTAGGTATTATTTCCATTTTAGAGATGACAAAATCAAGGCAGTGTGAAGTTAGGAAACCAGCCCAAGATCACAGTGCCCCTATTTGGTGCAACCATAATTTAAACCCAGATTTGTTTGCTTTCAAATTTTTGTAACGCCTGCCCCTTGCTACTCAGAGTCTGGTTCTCATACCAGCAGCATGGACATTGCTGGGCAGTTGGTGAGAAGTGTAGAATCTCAGGCTCCCATCTCAGACTTACTGAATCAGAATTTGCATTTTAAGACGATCCCTGAGCTGGGTGCACATGGAGCCTTAGAAGCAGTCCTCTACACTAATTGCCCTTTGGTCAGAGAGAAAAGTGCATGCATGTGTGTGTGTTTTGCGATAAGATATAGTGGTCTCTGTTTACTATCAGAGGCATTCATACATTATCCTGAATAATGCTTATAATTTCCACTCCAAATCCTTACTAACGCTCTCTGTTCCACTTGTCCACAGCCAGGACAGTGACTCCAGCAGTGGAGGAAAGATTCACAGACAAGTGTATGTAACCACCTGGGCTCCCATGGGAGCAGGTCTATAGGAACTAGGATGGGATGTGGGACATGGGGTGCCAGCAGTGAACCTGTTCTTCCCAGTGCTTTGAGAGCAGTGCCTCTTGCTTGCTGCCTGCCCCATGGAAACCTTACTCCTCAGCCTGTGTACCGATGCCTGAAGGATATGCATCTGCTGTAGACAGTGAGGGTGAGGAAGCAGGAAAGGAGGAAGGTTCATTGGGATTTCGATTTCGGAACTGCTATGGGCTATGGGACTTCAACAGATTCATTTTTCCTCTCTGGGTCCTCTTTCTTGGTAGAATGGGGCCATTGGAATAAATAATCTCCAGTCCTCATGGTCTGTGATTCTGAGGGAAGATTGAGGTCACCAGCAGAACCCCTCCACTGTGCTCTTGAATCAACACGTTTTCAGTCCTTACACTTGTTCTACACTTAGTGGCTTGGTCATTCCTTGATACCACTGTTTTGTTTGCATTTCTTCTATAAGCACAAGAAATTCTTGTGCGTGGACCAAGTCTCACTGATTCACTTTTGGCTCCTCCTCTAAGCCAGGTTTCTTTTCAGAGTAAATATGATCCTGAATTTGTGAGACCTATTCTGCCAAAAACCCAGAAGTCATAATGAATTAATCAGAGCCAGGAAGGCCTTGTCTAGAGCTACATTTCATATCTCAAGGGCACTGAATTTAGGTTCCAGTACGAATGAGCTTTGACCTCTGACTGTGACTGTTCCGTAAGTGGGGATAGGAAAGCCAAATGGAGTCTTAGGAGGTTTTAAGTTGTTGAATAATGCATATTACCCAGTTTGGCATTTGTAGGATGGAGAAGGACAGAAGAGCAGGATGATAAATGTTGCTTCTCATGGTTTGAATCTGAGTTTCTAGAACATCTCTTTCGTCTTGAAAATCTCTCTGAGGAAACCAGGACAAACAGGGCCTCTGCCTTTTACAGATATGGGAGCAATCAGAGTTTCCATATTTGGGTGTCTCTGCCCAATCTGAAGAGAATGTTTATCCATGTACATTAAGTGTGTGCTGAATCTTCTCACTGAACGAGACATGTTTGACATTCTTGCGTTTCCATTTTCTTTGGACTCCTCCAACCCACAGCCATCTTTGCTATTGTTTACTTGATACTGGCTAAAAGGCCATATTGAGGTATTATCAGTAGCTTGGCAGGAACAAAGAAGAGGAGTAAAAAATCAAGTAGAATCTAAAAATTGTCATTTCTGCTTTGACGCCTGAGCTGCAGAGGCGAAGTCAAGCAGGCTGGCCAGGTGAGAATCGTGGTGGGCAGTTTGGGGGGCTACTCTTGGGGAAACTTGAGCACAGAAGCATTTGGCCTCTTAGGCATTTTAAGGGCTCGAGGAAGGACCCTCACTGTGGGTTGATGCTGGTGTGCTTTGCAGGGGTCTTGAACATGAGGAGTCAGGCAGTGAATGGGAGCCCACAGGGGAAAAAATGAGCCGGTGCAAGAAGCAGAAGAGAGGTGAGATGTCAGAAAAGTCTCTGAGACGCAAGAGGGCAGAGCCGTGTGTGTGCGTGGGGTCCCAGAGGACTTGGCTGCCACGCGAGGTTTCACATCTGAATCTTTCCTAGCCACAACTCTCTCTGCTCTTTAGCTTCCACTCTGCCTTGTCTCTTCTTCTTCCCAAAAGTATTAGAAGCAGCAAGAAGTAAATAGTTATTTGAAAGGAAGATGCACCTGTTGGCAGCGTTTTTCGATTCTCTGGAGGGGAAGAACAAAGCAGTGAGAAATTTTGAAAGTGCAGTGGGTGCCGAGAGAAGCCTGAGGATGGAGGATCAGAGAGAGGATGTAAGCACCTATGGCAGCAAGAGAAAAAGAGCCTCCCAGCTTAAAAGTATTGACTGAGGGGTTGGATTTTGTAGGAGGAGTCAGGAGACATCAGGCCTTCCTTGAATATCATCATCAAAGTCGACGGTGTTGCAAACAAGAATCGGGCAGATAGATGGTGGGGGAAGAATGATGTTTGGGAGTGAATGTGCTGAATCTGCTTTGGTGAAAGACAAACTTCTGTTTCTCTGGCCCTCTTCTCATTTCCTGCCAAGTCTAGGAGTGGCTTAGACCTTCCCAGGAAGCCTTAGGATCATGAAATTCCAAGTAGCGGAAATGGTTTACTCCTGGATGAGATGTCCCTAACTCTCTTTTGAGTCTGGCCCTTTTTTCTGAATGATGCTGTGACTAATTAGTCAAGTTTAACAGTTTTGTTTTAAGGTACTGTCATATTTATGTCATTATTAAAAAAAAACTGGAAATTTTTATATGTTGAAGAAGAGCCTTATAAGATCATCTGCTGTTTTGTCAAATCAGGACAAGAGAGAAGGGTTTGTAAATATCAGCTGCTAGGGGTGGGTGGTGGTCCTGTCCTTTCCACTCAGCTGTCTTTGAGAACCCCCATTATCTGTTCCTTGCTGTGTGTTCTGGCGTACGTTAACCTCCTTAGCAGGCCCGTGTGACCCAGCCTTCCACCAAGCCCTTTCCCCACCTCTCCACTCACACTCAGGGAGCCATGATTCCCCAGGAATTTCTTGTGCGTTCACTTTCTTGTGCCTTTGCACATGGTGTTGCCTCTGCTGGGGAAGTCTCTATCAGTTCTTCAAGATCAAGGTTAGGTTTCATCTCTGAGGACCATGCTGGAATTGCCCCAGGCAAGCACTTCCACTCAGGACTTTTTCATGCGGCATTTTGCTCTTGCCTTTACAATGGCTGTCAACTGCAGCGTAATGAATTTATGTGGCTGTCTTTCACACTGAGAAGGTAGGGACTCACTTGTTATGCCGAGTGTCCACTCAGCATGGAGCATCCTTCCTGGTCCTGAGTAGGCATCCCACTGACTGTGGGTGGTGGAACATCAGGGAAGAAGGGCCTTAGCTATCTAGTCTAACCCTGTGCTTTTATAGAGTTGAAGCTTGGAGAGAAGTGATTTGGCCAGAGCCACACTGGTTGAGGGTAGCCTAGCAGACCTTTGCCGGGACATGGCACTGCTTGTGGGAGGCCAGCGTTGGCCTCTCTCTGGGCATAACTTTCCCGACAAACTTCATCCATTCCTGGGACCTCAGCTACCACTTACACTGTGACTCGGAGCCTTCCCTCCTATTCCAGCCTCATTCGACAGCTTCTTCTGGATGTATCTCGGTTCCTTCCAACTCAGCACACCCAAAGCCTATCTCATCATCTCTCTCTGTCCTCCTCACACACTGCTCTTCCTGAGTCTCCAGTCTTACATAATAGCATTACCTGCCCAAGTCACAAGCTTTGGGATCATCTCCACCT